ACTAGTCTTGTTGCGCCTATCTATTGGTCTCGTGCCAGCCGCTGAAAACCCTCAAGGTTTCGCGTTTAGGCTTTCGTGCTTTCTCCGCCACTGGGTCGGCGGACTGAGCCGGAGGCTCTTAAGTTTGGTGGATCTGCTCTAAACCCTAGCTTACATGAATCAAGCCTATAGTTTTAGGACGTCCCCTATCAATCCTGGGGATCTTTGCGCAACGCCTACCGCATAGACTAAATAAAGTGAACGGTAATTTTTTTGACCGAGAACAATATGAGCGGACTTCACAAGACAGGATATCCTGGGAACCTTCAAGAAAACATGTAGACATATAGAAGGCTATCATGTGCCGTATATTCACACTTACACCTACCTACATAGATAATGTACACATGTAACATGCATGTCTCTATATGTGTGTATATATATAATAGGAAAACCTACACATACATACATACATACATACATACATACATACATACATACATACATACATACACAGACAGACAGACAGACAGACAGACAGACAGACATACATGCATACATGTACGTGCATGTATATTCTATACTTTTCTACAGTAGAACACACACAAACCCAAACCCGGCTGACAGAAACCAATTACCCCCCGTTCTTTTGCTCCAACCCTGTGCAAGGTGTTTTTACGCGATGTGTCTCCATTGCTTGCCCAAAAAAACTGCCTGTCAAAGTCCTGAAGGAGGATAACCCCAATATATTCCCTTATCCCCCCTGTATATTATAGTAGTTTCCATTTTCTTTTCCATTATCCCAATATATCCCCAGAAAAATTCGGATTAGCTCCGTGGCCTGAAGTCTCAACTGAAGACCCCTAATTCAACCACAAACTCAGCCCGATACTCTACACCCTGAACCCTAAAACCCTAAACCCCTAAACTTTGAAACCCAAATCCAGAAGTTGAAACTTAACCTGCAAAGGCCACCACATCTGGGAAGGCATTTGGGAAGGCATCTGCCCCGAAGCCATCCTCAGTGGTGCACGCACTGTAGAGTAGGGTTTAGAACTTACAGTTGGGGTCTGAGAGTCTGGCGTTTGCATGCTACGGTTCTATACAGGATACGCTTCTGAAATTCCAGATCTCTTATTGGAGGCGGACTACAGTACGGATTGTCTTGGGAAAGCCTTAGCTTTTTCGGGTTTCTGCCAGTTTTGGGGCATAGCGGTTGAATGGCCAAAAAGAGGTAAGTTGAAATCCGAGCATCAAAGCAGCCACTGCCGCAGCGATGCCGATGGCAGCAGCGCTGGCATAGTCTACGGGTGGGAACTCCTGCAACATGCTTTGGGGATGTCTGTGGGTGCTTGTGATCGAATGGTGTTAGCCGGTGCTGCAAAGACAAGGTGGGACTCCAAAAGAAGTATCGTCACTTTCTTTCTCCGCCGGTCGGAGGACGCATTTTGCAGGTACACAGGGATCATTGTGGAATGATGTCTGATCGATGGATGATCTTGCTAGTATCAGTTAAGGCTGAGTGAACCCAGCAGCATGCTGAACTGTCGGCAGAGTGCAGCCCGCGGTGCTGAAAAAGGTGCTCTGTAAGCTGTTCTTCATGCCTGCACCCTAACTCCCAGTCCCTAAATCAGCAGCTAGATGCTGCTGGTCATGGTGGGTCATGAACGGCGCGTTGGCGCGTGCGCTTCAAATTTTCAGCCTGGGGTTCTTTCTATGCTGATGTCTATGGATGTTTCTGTTGGCCCCCGGCTCGCCCATACGGTTCAGCTTAAGCCTCCTTCCATCAGAAAAGACCCCAGCGACGCATCAGCAAAGATGCAAATTCTGATGGAGGAGGGACAGCTAGAGGGTCTGGATGTCAAAGATGGCGGAACATCAAAGATCCCAAGTCTCCTGCGCTGGTGCCTGTTGGGGCACAAACTCCGGGGCCTCCGCATCCGAGCATTTACTCTTGCACGAGAAAATAATTAGGTCTCAGACAGAGCGCAGCTGCAACCTGCAAAATAGCAGGATGCTTACCTAAGAGACTTACAAATAAAGAAAGAAGGGACCCGAACTTCGAGCGATTCCCGAAGTAGCTGTCCCATTCAAACCTTGTGATTGCAAAATCGCAACGCTTCAGAAACTATTCTTAAGTTCCAACAGCCCATGTGTAAGGACAGCCTGAATAGCCAGCATGTCTGGCAAATGCTTCAGCCGGAAACCTTGAGCCACATATTCGAGCAGCTTGCGGTTTTCCACAAACTCTCAGGAATGTATATCTTATGTACATACTTATAATGAGCCGCGAAATGTTCTACAGGTCACGAGCCTGATGCGCAGATGCGGGTAAGGGGGCGGGGAGCTGGTCTGCCAACCGGAGCTGCAAGATGCCTGGCAGCTTGGCTGTCGGGATGCGCTATAACTCCGAGGAAAATCAAGGACTGAAGAGTGCAAACATAGGGTCAGTGAAAGGACTGGGGTTTTATCTTCAGGGATTTCCAGTGTTGTTTTTGCGGGTGTTTTTGTTGGGGCCAGTGGCGGAAGTTTGGCGCTACTGCGATTCCCGCTTCCATGCGGGTCTTGTCGGAGTTCCTGTTCAAGTGCTGATCATCAAGTCTAATCCTCGCAACACTTCTGGATAAGCTTTCTGATATGATCTTGGCATGATAGTCAAGTTCGCAACCTCCAGGAGGTTTGTCAGGATATACATGTATACATGTATACATGGAAACAGAATGCTAACAGACCCTCCAAGCACTCGGCCACGTCTGCAAATCTGACCATATGCATATTTATAGTTACTATGCTAAGGATGCTCCAGAGAAAGTCGAGTTTTTGGGCGGGTTCTGGTAGGAGCCCCTTGTACCAAAAACCTTGGCGGATCCTTACGAAAACAACCCTGAAACAAGGCCCTAAGGCGATCCAGCTCCTGAGTTAAGATCAAAAGTTCAGTTGAATTGCACGGCAGAAGCTTAATATCTCATAGTTTTTGGTAGCTTCCAAAAACACAGGCTCCCCAAAGGGCATATACCAATAGAAATACCCTGCACATGAAACTCTGAATTTTCGGAAACTCTGCATCCGTTGAAATCCTACGATTCGGGCGTGTGACATAGGACGCGATGGAAATCAAATGATTGCAATGGCATATCCAAGATCTTTGCTACCTGGCACTTGACAGTGCCATCCTGTCTGTGATGTTGTACATAACCTTGCAGCTGTGAAAACTTCTTGTGGTGTGGAATCACATGAGATGGGCCTTAAGAGTGCTACTGACGGCCCTTGCTTCGCCACGAATACTTGTACTTGCATGTCTGTGGCCTGGGCAGTAACTGTCGACCATGGGAGGCTGCGACGGGGGAGGATGCTGCGGCAGGAACGCAGCCTCTTGCAACCACAGAAAGCACTGGGCATACTCAGACT